GATGGCCCCGTGCCCCAGGCCCACCCTGCTCTGGCATCCTGCTAGCTGAGTTCCCAGCCCTGCAGAGCTCCGCTGTGCCCCAGGTGTGGTGCTGGGTTTGTCCTGGCGCCGTCCCGCCGCCTGTGGGAATGTCTCTGCAGGTTACGTCTGGGCACCGGCAAAGATCAGCTCCTTCCCAGCAGCGAGGGGCTCTGTCTGGAGCCTTTGTAGGTGCATTTTTGATCTGGGCTAAAGTAACAAGGTTTCTGCTACATTGTAAGTGGCCAAACATTTCTGCCACACAGCCCTGGCTTTCCTTGAGTCAGGCTGATCACCATCTCTAGCGTCAGACAGCGTCTGCTTGGAAATAAGGGCTTCATCCCTTTGATGGGAAGTCCTGTGAAACCAGCAGTCAAGGTATTCTGTCCTAAAACTGGCGTGAGATCATCCCTGGACAAACAAACCCAAGCTACAGCGTGTGGCTCTTTACTCTGAAATTCAAATAACTGGTCTGCTCTCTGCGTCTGGGATTCTACTGCCTTCTCTCTCTTGTCTTAAAAACCCTTTTGGTTCTTTGCATAATACATTTGAAATCTGCTGGTGTGAAACCTGCATGGGAGAGGATGGAAACAGCATCCATTTAACAGGTGCCCTGCTCAGTTTAAAGCTTGTTTCACATCATGGGACAGTGGAGTGGGACTTTCCAGGTGTTGCCGAACAGACTGAATAGATGGGGATGAACACCCAGGAGCACAGCAAATACCAGAGCACTCTCTCTGGATGTGAACGGGCTGCTGGGGCACACGCCTTGCCTGCAGGGACCTGTCTTTCTGGCTTTTCTCTGCTGATGTTCCGTTTATCTTCTGCCTGTGGTATTTCTTTGTCAGCCCAGGCACAGGGTGCCCTGGGAGCCCATACCTGCTGGCTGGGTGCAGCTCCTAGGTGCCCAGCACAGCCTGTTAGCAGGGGCTTGGCTGCTTGTCACCACAAGAAGCTGTTAGTCAGTAGACTTTGTCCCCAGCCCCAGCTGCTGCTTACCTGGTGGCAGGCAGTGTGTGGGCAGGGCAGGTCTGCCTGCCCTTGATCTGTTAATGCGCTTGAGCTCGCTCCATATAATTGACCAGTCCTTAATAAATAGCACTGGTAACTGCTGGAGTTTGTAATTTTGCAGTCTGCCTGCCCTCTCCTCCCCAAAAACCACACAAATCGTGCTTTGGCTTCATGGGGACGTGCAGGATGGGTGGTGACCATGGCTCAAAGCCAGTGGGGTTGGAGCAGCTTGCATCGAGGCAGGTTGTAGGTTGTGTGATGGGACCTGTTGCATTGAGTGGGACCTGGATTCTCCCAGCTCTAATCACTCATTGTGTCCCTGTCTGCTCTTGTTCTGCCCCCAAACTTCTCCATGGACTTCCAGGAAGGAATGTACCAAGTGCGTGCGGACTGTGCTGGGGGTGTTGACACCACCACTTAGAGCCTGGTCCTTCCTGTAGCTCCTGTGTGTGAAATGTACCCAGGCTTGCAGGGGATCACAGCCAGCTCTTGTCCACAGTAGCCCACACACTGCAGCCTGGGAGCATTTGCTTGAAAAGCCCCTTTTGTAGCTCTGCTCCTTGCTAGCCTGGAGAGCAGCATGACCCCAGCGTGGAGACTGCAGTGGGACAGTTCTGCCCACGGGCTGTGAACTCCTGGCTGTCCTGCTTGGGGCTCACCCTTGCCCATGACCTTTCCTGACCCCACACACTAAGGTGCTGCAGCTCTGCTCCCTTGGCTGGACCCCACGGGTGCACAGCCAGGGCAGCCCCTGCGGCAAGGTCAGGCCGCTGTGCTCTTCCTCCACAAGGAGATCTGCAGCTGCCTTGCCTGGCTGGTATTTCTCGCTTTCCTGTTCCTCCTTTCCCTGTCGGGTGTGCAGGGTGCCCTCAGGCTTTGGGGATCTGCCAGCGAGTTAAATCCATGATTACCATCCTGTCTCTTTGCGGCACTGTGGGTGCAGACCGGCGAGTGTCCTGCTTTGGGGCATGAATCGGAGTTCCTGCTAGGATTAGATTCCTCTTGGCAGGAAGTACATCCCAAGGATCTGGTCTTGCCTGAGGACTGTTTTCTTCTTTCTTTGGTGTCTTTCTTAAACACAGTTGGGTTCTCTGTTACCAACATGACCCTGTGCAGCGTTGGAGGAAGGCGAGTTAACCCACGCTCACTGCTTTATTTTCCAACAGAAACAAGTAATCTGTGTCTGAAAGGTGCCACAGTTTCTCTCCACTCCAGGGAATTCCAGAGTAGAAAAGGAGCATCTGGAAGGACTTGGCAGAGATGTGAAGACATCATCTTCTACCCCCTTGCAGGGTGTTATGATCTTTGTTTTTGGGTGGTCAGCATGGTCCACTGTCTCTGTTGCAGATTTATCCCCTTCTCATCCTGGTGTGATGTTTCTTTTCCAGCCCTGAGTTGCAGTCTGGCTGGTTTCTTGCTGACAACAACACTAATGTATAATTTTGCAGGTGAAACTATCAGCAGGCTGGAGATTATCTGTAGATATAGCTGGGCAGAGGGATGGATGAGTAGTCCTGATGGTGCTTTGACTGAGTAGCTGTTGTCCTCTTGCATGCCCCTTCAGCCTACTCTGGGGCTGTTCTCACTATCCCAGCAGCCTTTCTTCCTGAGAGGAAAATCTTTACACTTTGGAAGGTTTGAAAGCAAAGTTCAGTTTGTAGCATGGGAATTTTCATCGTGTGGCATGTCACAGGAAGGCAGTACATGTGTCCTGAGCTGGGTGAAGTGGATATTCACAGAATGGGTTGGGTTGGAAGGGACCTTAAAGATCATCCAGTCCCAGCCCCTGCCATGGGCAGGGACATCATGTTGCTCCAAGCCCTGTCCAATGTGTCCTTGAATACTTCCAGGGATGGGACAGCCACAGCTTTTCTGGGCAACCTGTGCCTCACCACCCTCATAGGGAAGAATTTCTTTCTAACATCTAATCTGAATCTCCCTTCTTTTAGTTTAAAATCATCCCCCGAGTCCTATCTCTGCATATGTAAAACATCAGCCCATCCACTCAGCAGACAGACAAGGGCACAGCTCTTGCCTCTTGCACTGTAAACTTCTCCTGGGACGTGGGGCAACCCTGTGCTACCTGCATCCATCTGCTCTGCACTGTCTGCCCCAGAGTTTGCTGCTTCCTGCTCCATCACCTCTTCTTCTGCCATCAACCTTTCCTCCCGACCTTTTCCTCCTCCTTGGTGTCTCTGGTGATCTCATCTTCAGGGCACATCTCACAGAGTGTAGTTTACATGTCTTTTAGTGCTGACTGGCTCCGAGTGATGGTTTTATAGCAGGGATGTGGGTGGTTCTGGCTGGAGGAGCCATATACCCAGTGGGACTGGGATGAGAAATCGGACACAACGGGCTCCTCTCCAGCAACCTTAAGCCTCCAATGTGTCTGTGTGTGGGTGCAGCCCTGCAGCCTCCCCCAGCAGACACTCCACCAACTGCCATGCTCTCTGCCTTCCAGACTCCCTGTATGTCTCTGAGTACTTCTCTCAGAGTGCACAGAAGCTGTCCTTCTACAGCTGGTATGGGAATGCCAAGCTCTTCCACTTCCATGTGCCAGAAGACACTGTGCTGCTACGTTGGCTCCTGCAAGCATCCCGAGGCAAAGGACCTGAGTGCACCAGCATGGAGATCACTGTGTATGTATGTCCCTGTGCCAGTGCTTGCCCATGTGGACTTCAGTCCTTCTCTTGTCCTGGGGCTGGTGGGTTGTAGGAGACCGAGCATCTGTTTCTCAGGTGCAGGAACTGTACTTTCTTAATGTGCTCTCTGTGTTTAAACCTATAGGAACATTTTGTGTTCGTGTTACCAGTGGGTCTGGGGCTGTGTCAGAGACACTGGGGAGAGCTCCACAGGGAGGCTGGTGTGCTGCCCATGAGCAAAGGTGTTCCTGGACCTTTCTGTGCCTGGCAGGACCCTGCACATGGTGCCAAAGGATGTGGCAGGACTACAAGGGGTTTGGGAGAACCCAAACTGATTTGAGATGGACAAATTCCCCAGTGCAGACAAACTGCAAAAAAAGAGATTTAGGACACTTTGTGAGGGATGCAGCTCTATGTGGAGCAGTGATAGGAGAGGAGTGCCAAGCCCTGTGGACTCAAGAGCAAAAGAAGATTGTAAACTCCATGCCAGTGAAGGAATTAGTGCTTAAAGTAGTGCTAGAGTTGTTGGAAGATTTGAGGTCAAAAACATGCAACAATTCTGGGAGGGTACCAAGTTTCCTGGGTTCTGCCTATGGAGGCACATGGGTCTCTGGCATCAACTCTGTGGAGTTGCTGGGAGTGACTGAAGCTGCTTGGCTTGTGCTTCCCTTGTCTGTCTTGGGCACAGACTGGTGATCATAGTCTCTTCAGAGCAGCCTAGCACACAGGGTCTTTCTGCTTCCTGGAAAGGTTTCCAATAGTTTGCAGATGTGAGGGACAAGACATCAGCTAAATAATAACCCAAGAGGTGAAGACCAACCCAGACAAGTTCCAAGGGGTAATAACATATCACCTGGACCTGTTGCGTTCCATTGCAGTTCAGTCCAAAAGGGAGAAAATTAAATATCAAATTGGCTGCTCAACTAAATATTTCATGTGTTAGCTGCCTGTGCTTCTACTGCTTCAAATGTTGGGCTGTTTATCTGAAAAGCAGAAGTGCTAGTGCACTGAACTCTGTAATATGGGCCTTCCTTGGGAAGTGTTTGTTTAGTCTGTTTTCCTGCTCTGCTTAGAAGAAGAAATAGGAAGATGCAGATCTTAGGTAGAAAATGAAAGCTCTTTGTGGATAATTTCCCCTATATGGGGACCCTGTTGATGGCTATAAAGAGGGAGTAGTCTTGCTGCTGAGGCTTAACCTTAGTAAGTGTGGGAAATTTGCTTCCAGGCTTGATGGAACCATGTAAATCCTTTCCTTAATAAGCAGCCAAGTTAAATCAATCTCTAAATAAATCCTGGATAAGCTAATAGCATCCAGTCCTCGACAGATGGAAAATGAAGGCTCTTGTGGTCCACTTGAAAATGTGGGGTTTTCCAGCCTGCTCCCTCTCCAGTCCCAGGCCAACATGGGTGTCCTCTGATGAGTTTGTATCCCAGTTTATCTTGCCAACGTCTGTACATCCCTTGGTTTATTCCCATTCTGGTTCCTTTCACAGGCACTTTCGCCACGGAGCCCCTCCTGTGATCAATCCACTGGGCACTCGTTTCCCTGCCAACGCGACTGTCCGTCCTTCCTACAACATCAGCATCACCCTGAGCAGTGCTGTGCAGAACACTACCTTTGTGAATGTCACCACCCCTGCTGCTGGGGACTGGTTCATCGCTGCCCACCTGCCCGAGGCTGCCAGCAGGATCGAAGTGAAGGTGAGGGTCCTGGTGAGGCTCTTGGCCATGAAACTCCACCCAGTGTGTCTCATCACAGCCACAGCTGACCCGTCTGCTCTCCCCTCCTGCAGGGTTTCTCCACTCCATGCCCATATATGTTCCAGGCAGATATGTTTGTGCTCAGACTCACTGATATGCCTGTCCTGGAGCCTGGTGTTCCCATGCCACACACCGTTGTCTCGCCTGCTAAGCCACTGCATGTCAAGTGAGTGAGACAGACTGAGGGCCACGGTGGGGTGGGATTTCCCAAGGGAGCTGCTTAGGGGAAGCCACTGTTGTTCCCACGTGGGGTTGGAGCTGGGGGGCTCCAAGCCTGTTTGCTGAGCTCCCTGCAGTGGTAGGTGTTGCATGGGGAGCACACGAGCACCCTTCTCCCACTCTTCCTAGGTGGTCTTAGAGAGATTCAGTTGTGGGAATTTTAGTTCTTTGAGATGTTTCCCTTGGGAAGGATTTCTACAACCCCAACCAGGGCAGTCTAGTTCTTGCCACAAAGCCCTGGGGACTGTGGTGGGTCATGTCTGGCTTGCATGGAGAGTGCGGGCTCTGCTGACTGGTGGTCCTTGCTCCCTCAGGGTCTTCGTTCCCAAACACGCCGCGGGGATGCGGTTTGAGCTGCGCAGCTGTGTGACGAGCGAGCGGAAAGCGTGTGCTGTGCGAGTAGTGCTGGGCTCCATCACACTGCCTCAGTCCTTCCAGAGAATCCTCACCTGCACAGGGAATGTCAACTGCAGCCTGGCCCTGGATTCGCCCCCCTGGGAGAAGTGGCTGCAGATCATGGTGGAGAGTCTCGGCACCGCCAATGCCAGTGTGTCAGTGGAGATGCTGGCTTCATTCACAGGTGGGATTCCACTTTCTCTAGCCCTGTGGGTAGGACCAGAGGGAACTTCATCTGTTGTGTCTCTCTTGGGCCTTTGGGTGCCTGGCTGTAGTGGCCTGCATTCCTCAGCATGTTGGTTGACTCCTCCTGGAGGCCCAAGACCTAGTTGTTGCTTTGGGGTCAAAAGCAAAAGCTCCAGTGTTCACCCCAGAGGATACTCTCTAGAGCTGCCTGGTTTGGAAATGCCTCAGAAGTTCAGGGTCTCTGAAGCAAAGATATTTTCCAAAGGTTGTTTGGGAAGCAGTGGCTGGCTTAAAGTCTGAATAGTTTTGGGTAGATGCACCAGACTGTAATGAAATGTGGACTATTGACTGGCCATAAGCAGGCTATGGACAGGAAACCATCTCACAGAGGTTTACTTGAGGTCATGTCTGGGGTTGTAGTGAGGGGATGTCACCATTTCTGGTGACACATTGTGGCTCAGGAGGTCACAAGGTTCTTGTGGCTGTGATAGGCACCTTGACATCCTATTACATGACCATAATCCCTGGAAGCTCACCAGCTAGTTACATAGGAAAGGTTTTCCTCTGCTGGGGTTTCTGCCATCCCCTCCTCAAAGCAGAGCTTCATCCTGTGTGTTGGAGGGTCTGGCAGCTGAGGTAGTAGAGGGGAGCAGTAGAGTCTCTGGGAGCAATGGACAGGCCCCAGAAATGGGACTCTGAGTGTTTCACTCAGCTGCATCTACCACAATGTGATGGCTTGTGCCTGGAGCTCCATTGGGTTGGCTTCTCCCTTCTGCTCAGCCTTGTCTGCTCATGTGTGGGGAGCTGAGAGAGACTTTTATGCAGCCTGTGGCTGTGGGACAGCCGAGCACTGAGCTCTGCTGCTGGCTAGTGAGTGCTCCTCGGGTACTTTGATGTGTTAAGATCCTGTGTGTTAGATCTTCTGTTCCTCCTTCCCTTCAGCTCCAGGATGTTGGGTTTCCATCAGTGTCCCAGCTTGTAGGTACTGAGACCAGAGTTCCCCCTGCAAAGATGGTGCTTTAAGGGGCTGCAGCCAGCAGTGCAGTGCCTGAACTGTCTGAAACCCCCCAGTTCATGCTGCCCCTTGGAGGGTTGGAGCTGCTGGGCCCTGCCTGGGTGAGGTGCTAGTCCTGGCTGTGCTGATTCCTCCCCTTTTTTGCTTTACAGTTTGCAGACCGGGAAGCGCCAGCTCATTCCTTAACTTCATCAGCCTAAACCAGAACCAAACTGGTGCCAGGCCAGGTAGTGCAGGAGCAGCAGGGAGCTCTGCTCTGTCTGCTGGAGATGCTCCACGTAACACGTCGAGCCAGAGGAGCTCCTGCCTGCAGAGCCAGCCCGTGGTGCGCGAGGACCTGGACGTGGTGTCTGTGCGCTACAGGCTCTTGAATGGTCCCAGTGTGCCCGTGAACTCTCTCTCCCCAGCCCTTCTCCTCCTCAACCTGAACTCTGGCATGGACAGTGGGGGTTCCCTCGTGGTCAGTCTCCTGCTTAACAAGGTATGGCATTGTGTCCCCTTTGCAGGGCTCTGTCCCTGGGGGGGTTTGCCAGCAACCTCCAGGGATTGTAGGTACTGCTGGGACTATTGCTCTCTCTTTTTGTTGTCACAAAACACTCTGAGCCTATTCTAGCTGCTTCCAGCATGTCTCACCTGCTGGCTCCAATTCAAATGCCACATCTTGTGGCATGTGACGCAGAGGAGACAAAATGGGAAGCAGCTGCAGTGCCATCTTCTCCACGGGTGCCTGGCACCTTGCCACCAGGAGAGGAGTCTGAGCTGGGAAACCCATGGATGTTCCTGCCCAAGTCACTGATTCCCTGGCTCCTTCAGTGACCCCCCAGAATTCTATGAAACTTCCCAAGGGCTGGAGCAGGACTCAGCTCTGATGTCCTGCTGCCTCTGCCTTGTGTCAGCCTGTGCTGGTGCTGGAGTGATGTGCATGTCCCAGCTTGGGACAGTTCCCCTGGGAGGATCCCTCAGGTGTGTCTCTTGCTTTTCAACCACCATGTCACACAGTGCCAGCACAGGGTGAGGTGAGCATGGGTTTACTCAGAAACCTATTGAATTGATGGGTGACCTTGACCTGCAGCATTTATTGTCACCTGCTGCTCCCATTTGCTGTGGGCAGGATGGGAGGTGGATGGTGCCAGGGGTGGCATCAGGGCACTCTGATGTGGGACACTGCTCTGTTTGCACAGACATCCGTGGGCCTGGCCAATGCCACTGTGAGAGCATGTGTGAGTGCTGCTTCACCAGTGCTGTCCCTCAACGCCACATGGAACTGCAGCACAGGTAGGAGAGTCCCTGGCACCTGCCACCAGCTCAGCTATGTCACCTCAGGGCTCTGCTTTTAGACCTCACGAGCTGCTAACTGACTCAGGAGTTTGTGATGTATCCCAGGGAAGCTGATTTTGGCACAAACCCTCCTGAGGTCTTTGTGCTGCACATTCCCAGGGTGCTGGGATGCAGCTGGTGATCTAGCACCAGAGTTAGTCTCCACCTAAGGAAGGTCTGGCCACCAGCTGGGGCTCTTCCAGCTTTGTTGGCAGGAGATTTGGGGATGGTCAAGGTATTGCTGGTGTGCAGGGAAGCTAAGCTCTGCACTGGAGGACTAGCTAAGACAACAGGCTGTTCCAGGTGCCCTGTGCTGTACAGACAGGTACTGAGAGTTGAAAATAAAGAAAAAACAAAGTTCTCAAGAGCAGGGATCCTCTCCATCCTTCTCGTGCCTCCTGAGCATGGAAACAAAGAGCCAGAAGAGCATCTGATTCCTGTGTTATCAGTCTCAGCCTGAGACTGCTGTGGGTCTTTCTCCCCAAGTCCTGGCACATCACAGCACCCTCTTTTCTTTAAGCTTTTTCCCAGGGCTACCCTCTGAGTGTGAGCACGTCCTCTGCAGAAGCCACACTGATTGTCCTGTACCCACAGACGGATGACTGGTTCCTGTCCCTGCAGCTCCTCTGCCCAAAGGGCCAGGGGTGAGTCCAGCATGTGTCCCACCTTGGGGCCAGTTCAGAGCACTCTGCCTCCACATCCCACTGCCCTTGGCTGGTGTGAGTAAAACTGCCCTCTGTCCTCACTGCTGGACTGTGGGCTCCTCTCACCTGGTCACAGCTGAACTGTGTCTGCAGAGGGGGAAGGAGATGGATGGCAATGCCAACTTCCTCTCTTGTGAGCACCCAAGCAGTTTGTTTGATGCCAACCTAGCACATCTCATGCATATTTCAGATGGCAGAGCCTGTCTAGGTGAACTTTCCCTTCTCCAGGTGGATTTTGAGGTGATAGATTGGGAAATAATTGTTGCCATCACCCTTTTGGGGAAGTCTCTGAGGTGCAGGCAGCTGCTCCCACACTCCTGTTTGCCTTCCTGCTGGTTTCTTGTGTAAGGGGCAGAGTGGGTGATGTAAAACAGCACTGGTGACACTGGTCCTGAGGACAATCATGGGCACTGGGGTGTGCCACGGGGGACTGGGGGCAGCTGACACCCACCTGCACTTTGGTTTGGCAGTGAAAAGAGAGCCAACTGCTTTTAGCTCTTGGGAGGGATGGAGCAGGTCCCAAAATAGCAGGGAGCTTGCATGCAGGAGCGTGGCCTGACCCTCTGGAGCAGAGAGAGGGCTGCCTGAAGAACCTGGGGTACCAAGGGGACCTGCTGTCCTTGCAGTGAATGTAACACAGCAGAAGCCAAAGTGACTGTGTTCGCATACCTCACCCCCTGCTTCAACGACTGTGGGCCCTACGGGCAGTGCAGCCTCCTGCGCAGACACGGCTACCTCTACGCTGGCTGCAGCTGCAAGGCTGGTGAGTGCATTTTCCTGGGAAGCTCTGCCATCCTCTCCGAGGCAAGGACACGTTTCAGGGTGGTGGTGGTTGGGTAGGGTAGCCTGGGGTCTGTCAAGAGCAGCCTGATATGATAGTGCCTGGGGAAGCAGTTCTGGGAAGCACAGGGCACCCCAGGGATGATGAGGAATTGGGCTGAGGACAGCTTGGAGTCCTCCAGGGCTTGGGGAGGTGCTGAGAGATCAGGGTGCCTGAAAATGCCTGTCTCAGAGACTGTGCCTTTCAGGGAGGTTTGTTGTGTAGAGTATGGGGTACAAGGCTCAGCTGCAGTCCTTGTCTGTCTCTTGCCAAGAGCCTTAGACTCAGAGTGTCCCTGGAGGAGGAACATCTGTGTCAGCTGCTAATTATCTTAGTGGCCTGAGAGGACTGGGTGGCAGTCTTCAGTGTAGAGAAGATGATAGCTCTGCCATGCTTGGGTGGCTACATGTACCTGTTCCCAGCAGAAGGACAAGGAAAAATGTGGTTCCCTGCTGCTCTGGGCCTGAGCCAGGACCTCCCTGCTCCCTGCTGCAGTGCTGATGATGGGTGAGGAGCAAAATGGAGAGCAACATCCTAATTTCCCCGAGGGCTGACAGGTTCTGGGAAGCACAGAGCACCTCAAGGGAACTGGGGAATCAGGCTGAGGACAGCTTTCCGCTGAATCACTTGGAGCAAAATGCTCCATCTGCATATTCGTGACCCAGAAATAAACCAGAGAGAGCAGCTTCCCTGGGCCCTGCCTGGCTGGGAGCCAGCAGACAGGGCAGAGCTGCTGTGTGGGTTCTGGTGACTCTGTAATGGGATGGATGCTGCTTTTAACTCTGCTCCTTGACCATGGAGTGCGTGCACATACCTCGGCTGCACTGTGGCTGACCTCCTTTCCTCAAAAGGAGGGCATGGGCATCCTAATCTTTAATTAAAATCATTTAAATAATAGAAAAAAAGAAAAGGCATATTTGTGTTCATAGAGGCTGTTTCAGTTCAGTCCTTGGTATCCAGTGAGAGGCTAAGAATTGTGCACTGTCCTCTAGGAAATTTTCACTCTGCAGTGGGAGCACAGGGAAGGACAAGAGGCCACAGACATGGACTGCAGCAAGAAAACTTCCAGCTAAATCAAAGAAGGCAATTTTTCTCCCTCAGAGCTCTTCATCTTTGCACAATATCCAGGTCTCCATCCTTGGATATCTTCAAAAGTCAGTTGGGCAAGGCCAAACTGAGCAGTCTGACCTGGCTTTGGGGTCTGCTCTGATGTGTCAGGTAATAGGAGAGGAGCCCAATGCCTTCCTCAGTGCTGGGGATCATTCTCCACCCTGGTTCCTGGGATCTGTAGGGACCTTGCATCCATCTTGTACCATCATGTGAAGCATCTGAACCTTGAGTGCTTAGAATCATCAAGGTTGGAGGAGAGCTCTAAGATCATCAAATCCAACCATTAACCTGCCACTCTGCTGTAACCCCTAAACTATAACCTCCAGCATCAGATCCAGTCACCTCTTAAACACTTCCAGGGATGCTTGATGTTCCATCAGCAAGTTGTGTGTGTAGGGAGTTACTGTAGGGATGGAAAGTACCAGTCTGGATGTAGGATGGATGACCTCTATGAGGAAACAACCTGGGGGATGTCCTCAGAGCAGACACAGGCTCTGCTGGGGTTCCTCAGCTTTCCACAGCAGAGCATGCAGTGGGTAACAAGACCATCCCGAGAACGGAGTGTGAGTGGCCAATGGAGTGAGGCAGAGGAGGCTCAGGGATGTGATTGCTTCTTCTGAGGCATCCCAAGGTCCTGCTTGATGCTGTGGGAGGACAAGGCATGGCATGCAAGGTCCACACAAACCTCTCTGCTCCGCAGGCTGGGGTGGGTGGAGCTGCACGGACAGCACCAAGGCGCAGTCCGTCGGCGCGCAGAACCTGGCCACCCTCCTGCTCACCCTGAGCAACCTCATGTTCCTGCCAGCAATAGCAGTCGCTGTCTACCGCTACTACCTGGTGGAGGCCTCTGTCTACACCTACACCATGTTCTTCTCCACGGTAGGGATTGCCTTGGGTCGGGTCCCCTGCCACCTCCCCCTGAGCACTGGGAATGCTGCACCAGACTGAAGCCCTTGATGGACCAGCCCATCCTGGAGCTCCACAAGGAGCTTCTAGGCTCACTGCACAAGCACCTCAATGGACATGCCCTGTCCTTTCAGAGCTGGAAGGAGTGTTATTTTCACTGGGCTCTTCAGCCCATACTGCGGTTGCTCAGATTGGAGGGTGGGACCCCACAGCAGGGAGATGGGGTTGGAGCATTTTGCACTTGAAGGTGCTGTCTCAGGAGATCCTGGGAGGGTCCAGGTTGATACCTGCTTTCCATAATACCATGTTGGAACTTCCTGGAGGCACTGCCAGGAGGGATTCTGCCTGCTGTGGGCTGAGCCTTCTCCTGCCTCTCCTTCCCAGGGAGCTGTGTGGTGCTGCTGGGTTCACACTGAGCTTTGTTTTGTCCCTGGCTCTAGTTCTACCACGCGTGTGACCAGCCAGGAGTCGCCGTGATGTGCATCATGGACTATGACACACTACAGTACTGTGACTTCCTGGGCTCTGTGGTGTCCATCTGGGTGACGATCCTGTGCATGGCCCGGGTGAAGAAGGTCCTGAAATACGTGAGTGTCAGATACCCCCGTGTGGCAGGACCAGGACTGAGCCAGCCTAGCCACCCGTGGCCACACTGAGCCCTATCACCACTGTATTTTAATAACACAACCCAGCCTGGTGACAAAGCCTGTTAGTCACCTAAGGCCACTCTGTGGATTGTTTTGTCCAAGGACTGAGGCTTGTGAACCTGCATCCTTGTAGGGACTGGGCCTGAACGGACTGAGATTTGGGGGAAAGGTTTGTGGGTCCTCTGTTTCTCCATCTGAAGGTGCTTCTCCTGACTCTTGGGTGAATACAGAGCTGGGTGGCCAGGAGGAGAGGTTCTCCCTGTCTCTGGCATGGTCAGCTGTGCTCTGGCAGCAGGTGAGCTGCTGACAGTAGAGGTGATGTCTCTTTTCCAGGTCCTATTCATCTTGGGGACCCTGTTAATTGCCATGTCCCTGCAGCTGGACCGCAGAGGGGTGTGGAACATGATGGGTCCCTGCCTCTTTGCCCTCATCATCATGATAACAGCGTGGGTAAGTGCTCCCCTGTGGAGAATGATGGTGGCAGAGCAGACCCAAGGCTTCAGCCCATCCACAGGCATAGCTTGGTCACCTTGAAACACCCAGGTGGAGGGGGCAGGGCAAGGGATTCACCTTCCAGCCCTCCACTAGCTCAGAAATCCTGGGTTACAGGTCTCAGCACAGGGGTGAGTTTGTGCCTGGAGCTGCAGTGCTGTCCCAAAACAGTTGGCTGTTGGCTGTGCCCTGGGCAGGAACTATAGCAGCTGTGCAGGACTTGGGTGCCACAGCTGCAGGGAGGCTTTTGCACACAAAGAGATGAGCCCAAGAAGAGGGGAGGCTGAACTTCTGAGGGGCAGCAGGCAGACCCCATTGCTGGGAGGCTGGCAGGTGCTCCAGGGTCAGGTAGCACTGCTGGTTTCCCCCTGCCTAAGCTTCTTCTTGTCTGCCTGACCCTTCTGTGCTCTGACACCCCCAGGCTCACCACGGAGCAAAGCGCAGACACTGCTACCCCTCCTCATGGAAGCGCTGGGTTTTCTACCTCCTCCCAGGGATCACTTTGGCTTTCATTGCCATCTCAGTGTATGCATTCATGGAAACCAATGAGAACTATTACTACACCCACAGCATCTGGCACGTGCTGGTGGCTTCCAGCGTTGCTTTCCTGCTTCCTCCTCGGGACAAGCATAAGAAGCCCTGGGCCTGGTCAAAGAAGCTCACTTGTCGCTATCAGATCTGCCAGAATGACCGTGAGGAACTCTATGCTGTGACCTGACCTGCCTGGCTCCCCATGGCAGAGGTGGAGGGCTGGAGAGGCTGCTCCCTGCCTGGGCTGTCTCACACACTGTCAGTCCTCTAAAGTGCTCGTTCCCAGGCTGGGACAGCACAGCGCAGACCAGGTTTAAAGATGAAGGTGGTGGGCTGGTCTTGTGGAGGCAAGTTAGAGGCCACCTCTGCTTTTCTGCTGGGATGGAGCAGGCTCTTCGTGGTTCTAGATGAAGGAATAGCCTGTCCCCCACCTCCCCATGGCCCTGGGGGAAATCGCCAACCCTTCTTCCCCCCTGCTGCGTCCGTGTGGCTTGGGCTTAGCCCACACTGAGCTGGAGCTGGAGCTTTGGCTCTTCTCTGCACACCCTGTCCCATCAGAGGACTGTGGGACAGGGGTTCCCCCTGCCATCCTGCAGTGAGCATTTGAACCTGAGAGAAGAATGTGCTGCTTCTGATCCAGGGGGCAAGTACTGCTGTGTGCCCTTGGTGCTGATGGGGAGGGAGCTGATCTCTGTGAGTGCTGGGCTTTTGGCCACTGTCTCCACAGGGTCTGGAGCCTCTCTCCCTGTGAAACAGGTGCTGCTGCTCTTATCTGGTCCTGGTTCTAGGAGGGAAGAATGAGGCTGGGACTTGGGTCCTGGATTCAGGATCAGACGTGGCAGGAATGTGAAAAACCCCATGTGGGAACATACGAGAGGCAACAGCAGCATCTCAACCAGAGCTGTGAGACCTGCAGCAGTGCAGGGTTTCCTCTAAGTTTAATTTCAGCTCTGGAAGGAGTCAAGCTGCTGGTGTTCAAGAATTCGCTGTTTACCTCCTTTTTGGGGGTTTGGTATGGGCAGAGCTCTGCCTGGGGCAGCACAGGTGGTCCAGGATGGTGTCTGAGCTTCACAGCCCTGTTCCAGCCTGCTGTGCCTCAGAGGCTGGATGTGCTGCAGAGTCTTTTCAGCAATGTCCCACCCCAGTCAGGAGCATTGCCATGGGCTCCCCAGGTGACCACGGGCTTCCCAGGTGACCACAGTCTCCTTTGCAGTGTCTGTCTCACCTTAGCCTTACTACAGGGCATGCAGGCAGCAGAAAGCAAGGCAGAACTTGGCAACCAGGGAAGTTGTCTTTGCCCATCCTTATTCTATCGATAAGGGCTCAAATCCATTGTTCCTTGCTGGTTTATTCCAGCTGTGGTTGGTCTGGTGTGTGCTGCTGGGAGCCCCTTAGGTGGCTTTGGGGAGGAAAGAGCTGTTAATGAAGGATTTGCCTCCTCGGGGTTATTTCTTTGCTTGGGAGAATACCCAGCTCAGCTCTGCACTTTATCCCTCTGCCTCCCTTTCCTCTGCAGACTCCCACTTTTTAACCAGATGCAGGACAAGTCAAGGACACTTGTCTGCACCCAGCAGCATCATCCCCCATCACTCACGTCCCCTGTGTTTCCTTTTGCTGCTGCCATCCCTGACAGCACAGTGGAAGGGGAGGACGTGGGGCCCTCAGGGCTTCCCTCCAACATTTACCACTTCTAGGCACTTTTTTCCCCCCATCTCGGTTTGCACAGTGGCGTTGTGGCCTCAGCACTGTGGCAGGCGCCCGCTGCTCCCTCCCAGCCGTGCCGT